AATTCAAGGAGATCGGACGGTCATTTGCATCTGTCAGTACCCAATCAATGGAATCCAAGTTCGATTGTTCAATCACATCGATCGATAGGTTGTCCCAGGTGATCATGTTGTTCAGTCCCATCGATACATGAATCAGGTTATCGATCAACAGACTCTTCAGACCGAATGTTTGAGCATTGATACTACTGTACACTCGGATCACACTCATGCCATTCGTGATGTCATATGGTTCACTCGCAACGGTAGTAGTAGGTGTCAGTAAGCCTTCCAGCTTCAGGATGTTCGCAATGTCGGATGCACCACTCAGGTCGACCGATTGAGCATTCTCGGAGACCAAGTATGCCTGGTTGTTGTCATTGATCGGCATCGATACGAGGGAAGTACCTTGTCCATTTCGTTGCCCACAGCCTCGATGAACTGGGAGAACGTGTAGTATCAGTAGGCATCGATAGGACAAGGGAGGTCTCGCCGTTCGCCAACACCACTATCTGGTTACACGAGGTACTCAGGAAGTATTGCCGTGGATTTTCCAGTCCTTTCACCAGCACACTCGATTCGAATCCGAGGATCGATTGGATCTCGGGAGCACGAGTGAAATCGATCGTGCAGAAATGATTCACTGTGATGTGGAATGCATTCTCACCGCTATACACCAATTCGAACAAAGCATCACTCGCATTCAGCATTGCAATGATCATTTCGATATCGTAGGCTCCTCTGGGTATTAACACCTCGTGTGGAGATGTCCCCGCATCGATTAATATCACTTGATCGGATGGTACGTTGTGCAACACGAAATCGGTATAGAGTGACACAGACGAGATGGAACATCGATCGAATGACAGAGGATTGTCCAGCTTCACTTCCTTCTTCGTAGTATTATCGAACACTTCCATCATACTCAACTGGTTCATCGGTAGAATTGAGGAAGGCACTTGATCGTACACATCTTCTCTTGTCAACTGGAGTTCGAATTCGCCGTTCAATCGCATGATATTACCATCCATATCGCGGAACAGGAACATCAATCGGTCAAATCGGGTTATCATCGGAATGCAGATGTCTTCTATGGTGCGGAGATAATTAACCTCGGGATCGGCAATGATCATTGTGGTGAGCAGGTTGTTGTTCTGATTGGCAATCTTCAGATCGGAGGAACGCACAATCGATGAGTACACTTGGATCACTTGACGATTTCGCATGATATCAATCACGTTCGATCCATAGAACGAAGCGGATAGAATGACCATTTGTCCTTCCAAACCGAGGATTTCTCGAATATCCGGAGCATTGGTGAAATCGATGGTGTGAGGGGACTGGATATAAATACACCCATAACTCGAAGCCTTCGTAGATATCGAGAATGTAGTATCGGTCATGGTGTTGAGGATGGCAATGATTTGACCGATCATGTAGTATCCAGGAGGAATCGTTAGCTCTTCGTCATTCGATATTGTGACCACATTCGTAGAATTCACATTGTTGAACATGACTTGATTGGGTGTGAACAGGACAGTCATAGAAGTGATGTAGAGTTTCCGATACTTGTACGAGTTGATCCATTCGAACGTGCCTTTACTAGGTGAGCCTTAAATGAGCACGGAGTAGTGTATGGTTTGTCTCTTTTTACCATAATCAGTGGGGTGAGCAAAATAAGCTAAGATTAGAATATCGCACCTAATTTCTTATGAAGGGTGAAAACTACATGTTGTCCAGGGTCAGCAACGGTGATCGATGGAAGATGAGGCCTGAGGGGATACTTTGGCCGTCATAATTATCGCGTAATACACGCCAACACATAACTACTAATCAAATACTAATAATGGATTTTGCATTCTACATACTACTGCCATCCTCTCTATTACGAATCTAACCATTCCAACAGTATTCACTATTGTGAGTTCGATTGTTCCAAAACAAGATCAACTACCACATAATTGATATATTTTGAATAATATACATCCATTCTAGACTTAATAGAACAGCCATTCTAACATGAGAGAGTAAAGGTGATCAAAATGCGTAATAATTTACAATTATAGCTATAATTATCTGAAAATAACACAAGAATAAATGAATAGATGGAAATGCACCGAAATAAAGAAAAATAGGAATGGGTAAAGAAAATGAGGTTTTATCCTATGTATTCTAGTTTGTAACACACCAGCATATCAAAGCCATACACAATAATCCATGACGTGTGTTCTATCGAGAAATAATGAACCAGATCTTGTTTCCAAAATAACCGTTTTACCATTATTTCTTTTCATTTCCATGCAAAACATTGTTGATTTTGTCAATTCTGCTATTAGTAACTATCATATTGATAGTTCTATGATTCAAAATGTGCAGGGATGCTTGAGTAAAGAATGGAAACCATATGGCTGGATTTCACTCATATTGAGTAATGGAGAATGTGTAGTATTGCAATTCAATAATGGAGTATTCATGAATCAAGGATTTGTCCTCAATGAGCAGAAAGTGTTGAAAGTGTTCGGAAATCATCAAGTTGGTGCTATTTCATATAATGAAGAACATTCTAATGTTGAAGAAGGAATCGTGGATTTGGATCATGGAAGTCGATTTGAAGGATTGATATTGACAGAAAACAAGTTTGGAATTCCATTTGGATATGGTGAAATGTATGATGATGATGGATTCTTGGTGTACAAGGGCATAATGATCAATTGGAAACGATTTGGATATGGAACGAGTTATCATAATAATGGATGTATTGAATATGAAGGATATTGGTGTGATGATAAGCGATTTGGAATTGGCAAAGTCTATGATCGATATGGGAAGTTGGTGAATGAATATGAATGGTATAATGGAATTGAAAATGATATTGATTATGAAGGCGATGGCTCAGAACCACTGAATATCGGAATGAAACATTTGAAACTGAGTGACAATTGTATATTGGTTGATTGGGATGTTTCACTGTTCCACAATTTGGAATCAATCGAAATCGGCGATGAATGTTTTGAACGAGTGTACACACTTGAAATCGATGGATTGAATCGATTGAAAACGATCAAAATCGGAAACAATTCATTTACTCAGAATAAGAAGGCGTATGGAAGCAACTGGTCGAAATCATTTCACATATTGAATTGTGAATCATTGGAATCCATTCAAATTGATGAATATAGTTTCAGTGATTTTGCTGGAGACTTTGAATTGAAGAATCTACCACAATTACAATCCATTCGAATTGGGACAATTGGAAGAGAATCAGGCAATTTCTATAATAGTTCATTTGTGATTCGAGGTATTGATATGATATTGAATATTTGAATGATGCATAGATCTTCCAAATCTACAATCCATTACATTAGGTTATCATGCATTCCAAGAATCCAAATCAACAATAATTGATAGTATTGAATGAATTCGAATGAAATGATGATGTAGATCTTCCATCATTACAATCCATTCAACTAGGTTATGGTGCACTTGCTGGAAAATTTGGGTATGGTTTAACTTCATTGACACTTCGAAGTAATAATGAATTGATTGGTTATGATTTGTTTTGTAGATCTTCCAATTCTAACATCAATAACTTCTGTAAAATGGAGTTTCTATGAACCTCGTTGGGTGACATTGGAAAGTATTTTATAATTGAGAATATTGATAGTATTTAGATATTCCAAATCTTCAAAATGTCAAGCTACCTATTTCATTCCAGAAAGTTCGATCGAAATCAATTTCGAGTATAGTTTGATTGATTTGATTTGATTCATAGATGTTTCTTCCATTCTCGCTGATCTTGTTCACTAAATCGAGCAGTAATTCCAGAATTGGATCTACACATTCCATTCCATTCAATAATCATCGTATGTTCATACCTATAGTGTTTTTTAAATACCCTCTGCCTTTTTTGGTCAATGATCTAAATCCAATCAATGATTGACACTTTTAATAATCATCAATACCCAGATTTGTTTAGCTATTTTGTTTCTATCCTTCGTGTAATCGATGCTAAGAATATAATAATGCATATATGAGGAATGGAGGAGCAAAACTGATATAATCGAGCATAGTTTATTGTTCAATATTGATATGTGTTATCCTTAACAAATCACTAGATTCTGAGCGATTGAATTGAGACGATCATTTGAATATATTGGATTATACTTTATTATCTTATGGAATGTTATGTTTGAAACCTATTTGAAATCCACATATAGATAATCGTATTTTCAACTAGAATTGATATAGTTTCAGTGAGTTTATTCATTGTGTTCGAAAAATGCTTGTTTCTTTTACTCTACTATTTCTCTATCAATTCAATAGTGACTATTATCACTCTATTAGTTACACTGTCAATCTAGTTAATTTATAAAGAACTCTATAGACGGTATTTCATTCTATTCTTCTATTGTGATATCGGGTACTATTTATGAAGCTCTCTTTTTCACACAAGGATTCACAGTTGTTTGTGCTTTCTAATGATCCAAGTATTGCTATCTGTACAGCATGAAGTCTACAAAAAGTGTATATTCAATCTATATGCTATCAAAAACCTTGTTTTATTGTCATTTTTCCTATATTTCACTTCCACGATATTAAAAATAAACACGTTCTTTCCTTATTGTGGTTATTTCAATCCTATTCAAGTTATTCTATTTCACTGATTATGCTAAATAGACCATATTTCATGGAATACTGCAGTCTATTGTTCATTCACTACCAGTTATTGTCTATATTATGATCCGATGCTTGTCGTGAAGGCTGAATTACTCATCATTATCATTCATCATTTATGACCAGATTCTTTTCGCTATGCAATTTTCATCGCTGTCTAATCAATCAGTATTTGTTCAACGATTGTGTTTGTATTGCATGCCATTACGTCCAATAGTTATAATCTACACCAAGTAACTTATTCTAGTCTTCATTTCAATTGTTTCCTTTTCACTTCCCATATCCAACACACCACACATCATTCATCCTTCAAGTCCTTCAATTATCTCTTTTATTTCAACAAACAATAACACTTCTCACACATACTCTCTAATGCGCAGCAGAAATGGGAGGCAAAGCTTCCCGAATACACGATCCATACCCCTCTTTATCCACAAAAATCTCCAGTTTCTTTGCTTGTTCGGCCACCTCCGTACTCACCGAAAAATAAGAATCAAAACAGCCACTGATATCCGTGAATCCATCCTTCAAGAATTTGCTTTCTCCACTCTTCGTCTCCGCGTACACCTTCACATAGCAGCACGGAATGCCCATATGTGTCTTCTTTTTTTTCACTCGCAGCTATCCAGACTTCACAGACAGTGCCACGAGCAGCGAATTGTTCAGCGAATAGCAGGCTTCGCGCAGCGTTCCGTTCCGTTCCTTTCGATTCCGCACTTCCACCAAAACATTCTTCTCCTGGTATTCTTTCGGAAGCGTGTAGATAAACTCGCCCACGCCATCGACTTCAGGAGGCAGCTGGACATGCTGCGTGTAGTTAGGACGAATGAAGAGCGACGAAGACTTGTTGAACACGAATGGATTCAGACTGAAGAGCAACTCCACATCCAGCTCGTAGAGATTGATGTCTGCCTCGCGTAGATTGTAGTAGTGCAGCGTAATCACCTGATTCGTGGATGACACTTCGAGCGAACTGTCCATATTCATTTGCGATCGTTTCGATTTGAATTCATCGTGAGCAAGGTCCGATTTGTCCCTGATTTCGAAGGTCTTCTCGACATCCATCGTTCCATCCACGCGCTTCACCATCGAAGAAATGTTGCTGAATAGATTTCGCCAGTACAGAACTGGATAGGACTCATAGCGAGCACAGATCTCGCGAGCCTGCGTCAAACTCTCCGTGAAACAATCGAAATACGCGATCATATAATCGACCTGGACGTTGCAAACGCAGTCTGCGCGCGAAACAAAGCGACCTTCTCGCTCTTCACAGACGAACTGTTTAAACACAGAAAGGGCGGTCATCACACGATCCTGAAGAATCAAATAATACACCAACAACGCGTAATCATTGCATGTGGGCTTCTTTTGCTTCAGATACTTCAAGAAAAGCTCGTACCACTTCGTTAGCTTGTCGTTCGGAATGTTCATGCTCTCTCCTAAGCGGAAACAACGATTATTCACGTAGGGTTTGTACTCGCGAATATTGAAGAGTCCCTCAGCCACTGAATCGATCATGAGCATTGGCGAAGAGAATGCCAGTCCAACACGCTTCCTCATTCTCATTCCTACGAGATCCTTCGTGGACTGCAGATCGCGGTGTTTCACTCCGAACTTCCAGATATCCTCGATATAGAATCGAATTCGACGCAGCTCAGTAATCAGCTTCGTAAAGAACGAAGCATTGGACAGTCTGCCCAACACATACTTCCATTCCAGCTCCTGCACATCATGTGATCGAATGGAATCAAACAGAACGTCCTCCGAAGCGTTGAGCGCCACATCTTTCCACGAAGTGACATCGAGCGTCTTCGCCTCCTTCACGCAGTGAAGCGTCGTGAAGGAAGGAGAAGCGACAGCGAGGATGGTCGCCTTCGTTGAATCGATGATGTGCGCTGGAAGATGCTCAAAGTCTCCCACCTTCGGGAAATAGAAGAAGCGAATAACTCAACGTGCAGGTGCTGAAGGCATCGATTATCTTCACCTTGTTCACCAAAGACTTGAGATTGGATAGAGGGTACGATCCCCGCGGAATCTGATACATGATCTCCACGACTTGCTGGATGGGCGCCACATTCGTAATGACAATCATACAGGTGTACGAAACTCCCGCGACGAACTCGTTGGTTTCCATGAAATGCTCCACTTTCTTCCCGTTCACTGTCTTCCAGTGATTGCTGTTATCGATGTACTTGGTCAGCACCATGAGAGGACAATCCGCAGGCTTTGTTCCCTCCTTCAGCATTTTGTGGAACACGAACACGGGCGAGTTCGTGACTAACTGCGATTTCTGTAGGTGATAGGCGGCTTCTTCACTCTGAATCCCCAGCACCGATAGGTAGAATAATACTTCCGAAACAGAGTGAGTGCAGAGAATGAAGTCTTTGGAGAGGAAGGGACAAGACGAGCCGCTGCGCAAATGATGGGCAAAGGACGCCCAGAACGCTGAATTGGGAACAAGACTCACAGGAGAAAACATTTCAGTACTTTGGTAATAGTATCCCTTTTGATACTCCTTCGTTTTCTCTAATCGTTCGTAGTGATGTTCTACACTCTTCTTCTTTTTGTAAGTGTCAATGTCTTCCATTCGATCAGCCGACTGAGCAATGAATCGATGAGATGGCATGGCATCCATTGTAGGACCTGGCATAGCAGCCATTCGACGCATTCGTGGAGCGGCCATCGGAGGAGGCATTGGCATAGAACAATAATTGACTGCATCAGACATACACTCAGAGTCCATGCCTCCATTACAAGCTCCAAATCTCATCATTCTTGGTTGATCGAAATCAATAGACCTCATACACATCATTGGTGGAATAGCTCCATAAAGCATTGGCTTTGGTCAACATAACTCTTCCATAGGACGAGGAATAGAGTCACTAAGAACTTTTTTTCTTGCTCAAGTGGAAGCACAGAAGGCGGCGCATTCAAACTCTTCAGATTCATCGCACTTTGGAAAATGGAGGCGAACGCAAAGCGAGAAAGAGGATTGTGCGCAGCATTATTCTTCATCCCAAGTTCGATTGCTGCATCTTTTCCTCTGACATTAAACTGGCCAGCAAAGCGCGCTCAAAAGCATTCAGACGCTCAAAGAATTGGGGTTGAAGGAAGCGAGACACATCGCCCCCAGTAAGCCACACATCCAAAAACGTAAATTCCAAAAATCGGGATTATTTGTAGGTATAAAATGCGAAACAACTATCCTGTGTGGTTTCTCGCAATCTGACCCCCGAGAAGGTGTGTTTGATGCAGAGTTCTCAAGTTGCGTACTACTGGCTGAAGGATGCAGGCGTGTCGAACATTCTGGACTTCACAACGACATCTGCGGCGAGTATAGAGAGGAAATAGAATCTGAAATGTAGCTCTAATGCGAAACAAATAATATTTGGAACTGATCTATGATTCCACGAATAAGCAGATGATTGAGCTGGATAAAAACGTGCTGGGTGGATTGGAGGGATTGATGAACTTCAAGACACTGGCGAAGCGCTATTTCTATCACGACATGCTTGACTTTATCAATATCGAATTAAATGCTGCGAACTACTTGGTGGATCGCGTGTGTCGAACGTCGTGGAACCTCACCGATCAGTGTATCAGTGCGATGTTCGAAATGGCTATGCGGAGAACGATGAATGGATAGAAGAAGAAAAAGCGAATGAGCATGACGCACGATATCTACTTCTGCAATCTGCACAAAGATACCGTCGGCGAAGCGTATCTCTATTTTCCAAACAAGATACTCGCTCATCCACGCGCCTTTCTGTTCTAGACTCTTCGCTCTTGAAAAGAAAAAGCCAATGGCGGGCAGCGATATCGCTGCAATCCATATCAAGACACAAACTCACAAGAAGATCTCAGCAAAGCGAAGAAAATATCTTGGAAAAGACGGAAAAGCCGAGGAAACAGCTGGATCTGCGAAGCCTCAAAATGGGAGAGCTGCATCACATCGCGCGCGATCTGGGTCGTTCGAAGGCGGAGATTGATGTGATATACCGCTGGTCGCTCGATGGATACATTGAGCGGCATGAAAGAACGAGTACGCAGGCCTCTCCCGTCTGAAAAAGCGCAACCAGTAGGAGCTGAATCAGGATTTCCAGAACCAGGGAATCAAGTGAACCAATTGTTTCGCAAACAGTGCGAACGACTGAGCCAAACCACGCCGGAGCTGTTCATTTCATCCATCCAAGTCGATCTGAACACATCGTTTCCGCTTGGCGATGAGGAGAAGCAGGCACTGAACAGTCCGACGCTGCTTCCGCTTGATAGCCAGCCCTCTGCGATGGATTTGAGAGTGGCGAAGAACGGATATAAAGGGCGGCTGAGTGGGGAATGGGGTGATGGCTGGACGGAAAAACGCGACTTCGAGAACTATACGCCGTTCCGACATCATCGCCTTGAGAATGGAAAGTAGGATCCATGGAGAAAAACGTTCATTGTAGAACGTCGCTAATTCACCAAGTGAAGCTGACGGAACTATCGGGTGGAAACATCGACGCGGAGTGTTCTGATTTGCGGAACACCAAAGATATTCACGTCGCAGAAAGGATTTGCCGTAATTTCTCCAACCCAGGGTTCCCTCTTGCCGACCGTTTGGATTTCATTGCATTGTTTTGCTTCTATGTAGTTCTCCGCGATTTACAAAAATCGATGTGAACATGTCCAATCTGACCACAGCTCGGTGGTGACGCAGAGTATTCATGTTTCAATTCGAGGTAAAGAGTAGAAAACACAGCCCAAGAACGCCTAAAGAACCCATCAACGAGATAATGAGGCTGAATCCACGTTTGCTGGTAACACTGCTGAACTGAATCAGGCGTTGAAACGAGTAAGAGAAAAGGATATCGATAAGAACTTCCATTGCATTTCTGCTATTATATGTTGTTCATAGAATGGATTGGAATGAAGAGCATTTCGAGTAATATGATAAATAATGTGGAAGTATTTGGACTGGAAAATGTGATTGTGATTATGATTCTTGGCTATTGATTGGATTCGAATCGATTCGATTCGATTCGATTCGATTCGATTTTGGAGTGTATAGAATGTAAAGAAGATTGGAAAAGAAACAATATGATTGTGAATGATAATTCCTTGTACTTCACAATGGATATCAACAATGTTCACAAAAATAGGTGTTTGTTTGTTTGCTTGAAATAATCCATCGAGATTCAATAGTTTAACAATATCGCTGGTTGTTGATTCATTGAGGCGACTATTGTGTTTCATAGTGGAATAAAAACTATTGAGTTGGATGAGGATGATAGGTTGTTTAGAGTTTGGTTGATTTGTGTGTGTTTATATTCCCGTGATTCTATTGAAAGCAGAAAGTCATTGTGCCTGATGCGATATACCGCGGGGAAGTGGAATAATGATAGAAAGGTAAAAGCAATAAAAAAAGTGGATGGATTGAATGAGTGAGAAGATAGGTTTCGATATACCTTGATTTCGTTGATGATTTTATTGACTATCGTCCAATTTACCTTTTGGAATCAAATATGTCTCAATCACTCTGGTTATAATAATATGTTATTCCATCAAGGTATGTAATTGTAAGAAAGCAAATCTTGAATAATGTGAGTGTTTATAATTGTAGAAAGACCCAAATCGAAAAATGAGAAAGAAGCAATAACGAGTGAAAGACGACAACTGGAATTAGGACTCCAACAGACAATTCAAATACATAAAGAAAACGATTGGGAATGTGTGAAACGTATTTCGATAAAACGAATTGTCGATCTTCACATCCATAGGATTCAATCCAAACTTGATTTCCATCAATAGTTCGCCATTCTCCATTACAAGCTGTAGTAATTGTGTAATACTGGTTGGGTGGTTAGGGTATTTGCATCTCGAATGGGACGTCAGGAACTGATAAAAACTCTCGGTGATCATCCCCTGAACCAAATGACAGGTTATTCGTGTGTGTTCAACCCGTTGATTCTGATTTGGCAGTTGGTGTTAGTGTAAATGAAAATGGTTTTGATACTTGGTTGGAAGATGGATTGGATGGAGTTGTGGAAAACCGATGAACGAATAAAAATATGAATGGAACAATGTGAATGAATTGGATTGCTGTGAAACCCGATGGAAAGAAAGGGATTCCCGCGGGTTACAATTTTGGAACGAAGTGGAATAGAATGTAACAATGGAAAAGTGAAAAATAGAATAGAATAGAATAGAATAGAATAAAAAAGAATAGAATAGTTGAATAAAAGAACAGCATCGAGACTTCTCAGCGAGTCACCCACACTGGTACTAACTCGACTCGTGATGACTTAGCTTCCTAGATCGGACGGGTTAGGGCGCTTTCCATCAGATATGGCCGTTCTCATTTTATTATTATTCAATTACCTATTTAAATATCACATTCTTAAAATATAATTATATTACTCATTCATTTCATATTCCCTCTCAGAGTTTTTAACAAACATCGCAATCCATTACTCAAACGCTTCTTTTTCCTCGCTTTTCCCTTCCTTTGGAATCGTGCAATCCAAAACAAACGGCTCATACAGCTTCATGAACTCCGGAATGTTAATCCACAGCTTCAAATCCACTTCGCCGCCTCCCAAATAAATACCCTGCTCCGGTATTTCCGTAATCGATTTGCTCAGAATGATCTCCATTCAACACATAAAAAACAAACTACTGGAACCGGACGAAGCATGCCGAACGGCGTCACTGCATTGTGTCGGAACCCGGATAGCTCGTAAGACATTGCTTCGTCGGCCAATTGGAAATTGTACTTCTTTTTTGAAAGACGAACATCCTCAGGAAGCAGATCGCGTACCAAACCTCGCAGTTTCTCTGTATCCAGCTTGGTGATGTACTGAATGATCACCAAATAGAACCTGCATAAAAGAATCAAAAATAGGTTACCTGCTATTACGAGCATTGTTCTCCTCGCCATTCCATGCGCGGTTCTCGAGAATTACCGACTTACAGAGACAACGAACGGGGCACTTCAAAAATGTACTACGTATTAGGTCCAAACAACAAGCACACCTTCGTTGACTAAGCTTCCAATCGTAATAGTCTGTAGGTGTTCTGCGGAAGAAGAATCTGCTATGACATCGAAGGAATACATCTTACTGCTTTAATCCACTCTCACTGCACGCTTTTCTGACTCTCGCCTGTGCTTCAGTGTCATCACTGGGGTCGTCTCTCTAATTCTCATCAGATCCAATGAAGCTGACATGCAGCGATTCGACCTTGCGCAATCGCAGTTCTAATGCCTGGAGCCTCTCAGACAACGCTTTCAAATCACTCTCGCTCATGAATCCAAATAATCTAACGGAAATTGTCCAGCAGAAAAAAACTCCTGCTTATCAATTCTTGTGTAATTTGTGTGCCTAGCATTGCTCTCTTTTTAAAGGTATGAGCGGGATAAATAAAGCCACGCGAGTCGAAATTATCCAATGGCTGAAAGACACCTTACTGGTGAGTATTAATAAGTTCGAAGAGGTTTATAACGGTATTCTTTATGAGAGTAATATCATGTGTAGGAGCGTTTTCTTGTCAGATCATTGATATTCTGTTTCCGTGTATTTGTTTTGCATGTATCGTCATCCCTAGCGAGTATGCCAATGTCAAAAGTGAATTTTCTGGCAAAGGAGCCATTTGAAATTCAGAAGAATTATAGGTTAATTCAGAGTGTTTTTACTGCAAAGAATGTCCAATTCGTATCTTAGCATTCGTTTCATTACCTTTCAGAACATTCCGATTGAAAACCTCAGCCGAGGCCGTCCGCAGGACAACTTAGAATTTTTACAGTTTCTTAAAAACTTATATGACAAATTGTACGAAGAGCGTGATTACGATCCCATCAAGCGGCGTCAATACAGCAAAGGCGGCAAAGGTATGCTTGCTTCCCTGTTTCCACGAAGATTTCAATCTTTCTGAGCGCGACCGGGAACTTCGCCAAAATGAACAGATACTCAGTTCCGGTCGCTGTTCGATCGGTTCTGCGACATTTTCTCAGCGCACAGTCCGTTCGTCAACGTTGGCAGCACCACCAACAGCGCCGCAACGCCACGGAACGCTGCGACTGGGTGAACCCATGAAGCAGGTCGACGATTTGAAGCACAAACTGCGCACGTTAGAGGAGAAGATCAACGAACGGGATCGATTAGTACTGGCTGTGCAATTTTTAGAACGTAGATCGAGGCGTTGCAGAAAGAAGGGACATCAATGTACCAAGCGCTGCAAAGAGTGGAGAGCTTTGCGCAGGACGCAGAGGCGCGCGGAGAGAAGACTGTAGGAATAAACGAGCTGTTGGAAGTGCTGTAGGAGAAGAGGCGGAGAAACATGTGTAGGTATTCGTCTTTCCATGCGGAACACCCGGCGGAGGAAGAGAAGTGGCTGAATGATGGGCTGTCGATAGGGTATCTGGATGATAGTTTTTCTCTAAAGGAATAATGGTGATGATGTTTGTTTCTATACAATTTTGATGACATTTTGTCTCAAATGGTGCATGGATTCAGTTTGTAAACACTCAAATTCGCGATATGCTGCTTTTATGGAATTATGGAACAACAAATCCGGCACATTTTTTGTCAAAAAAACTTCAATTTGTTTGGGAATGGAGAATACTCCTACAATACCATACGATAAGGAGTCGAGTGACTATGATCACGAGTAGATTTTGCCAACTCTTCTGAAAATTAGGGATAACAAGTCATGGATTTCTCAATTCTGTAGTAAAAGTGAAAATAGCTATTTTGTGGAAGTCGACACTGATTTTATAACGGATGCATTTAACCTCTACGGGATTAACTCCGAATTTCATCTATATAGACAAGCTCTTAATCTCATCTTAGACAGACAAAACTTTGAGGGCATGGACTGTATTTCTGATCCAATCTTCTGAGGAATAGCGGATATTGACGATGACGAGCTTCAAGCAAATGCGGAGTGCATTTATGGGATGATCCACGCGCGCTACATACTGACTGCACAAGGATTAGACGCTATGGTTTCTCCATTTCTGCTTGTTTACGCTGTAGCTCCAAAAATTTAAAGAGTGCACATTCGGTACATGTCCTCGCGTATACTGTAACAATTATAACCTTCTTCCAATCGGCCTATCTGACAAACCCGGAAATGGATGCGTCAAGCTCTTCTGTCCCTGCTGCAAAGATGTTTACCACCCCCCTCTGGATTACAGCCGTTAGTGAGTCGCAAAGGCCTGAGAGATAGATATTGATGGAGCGTTTTTTGGAACTACGTTCCCTCACATTTTCCTATTGGCTTACCCGGAGTACATAACCAACGCGAAGAAGCTATTCCAGCCAAAGATTTATGGGTATAAGATTCACGAATCAAGGTAGGGATGGCGGGAACTGTTTGATGGTCAGTCCTTATTACGGTAAAAACGGGAATGGTAAGGAGCAATAAAAATAAAGGTTTGTTCATAAGATGTTTGTTGGAACAAACAAAACAATACATCTATGATACACATTCACAGTTACTTCAGCTTCTTCTTGGGGCGCAGATGGTTGCTGTGTCCACACTTCTTCTTACGGCAGTTATGCGCACGAAGAGGAAGACGAGCGTAGCACTTACGGCACACCATCTTCTCACAGTTGTACTTCTTGGCCAGAGCAGCCAAGGTGGGCTCGATCACTCCTCCAGCAATCTTGAAAAGCATTTCCAGAGTTTCATCTCCCTTCAAGTTGTAAGACTCGAGTGTCTTGCTATCATCCAGCTCCTTTCCAGCGAAAACCAGGCGCTGGTGATCGACATCCACGTTCTCTCGCTCCTGGAGCATCTGTTTGACCGTCTCCACGGTTTCTCCACTCTCCACCTGTAGCGGAAGAGTTCTTCCAGACACAGTTCTCACGAATAACTGTAGCATCGGAAAGAAATTAATGAGTTTTGTATTTTTGTCAATATCGACCAAGGAAGTTGTATACATTTCATGCAAATAATCTCCTTTCAATCTATAGTATTTTCGATAATAGTTGAGATTTCTCGAGGTTTAAAAATGTGAATGAAACTACTGAATGGTCTATAACTCAAATTTTTATTTGGGTGGACAATGAGAATCACTGCTGTGGTGCAATTCCATAATATCATTATTGCCTCCACCCCTCACTCCATCGCTGCATTCTCCAACAAACACCTCACTACCACATAATAAATGACCAAAACCCTTTCCATGCATGTCGCTCACTTCTTCCCCTTCTTCCCCTTCAAATGATGCTTCGCCCTCCACGCGGCGCGCTTCTCTCCGCGCTTGTCCTTCTTGAGTCGTCGATCCACGACCTTCACTCCGCGTCCGCCCTTGGCTCCCTTCTTCCCCACCACATACGTTTTCCCTGGATGTTTCACGTCCTTTCCCTTCATCAGCTTCTGAATCGCCTTCAGCTTCGCGCTGTCCGGCATGTCCTCGTCGTTATTAATGCTGTCAATCTTCGCCTTCTGCTGCTTTCGGAACCGCTCCACGCGTCTTCGCTTCCGCGCCATCGCCTCGCGCTCCTTCTTGATCGTTCGATCGTCGTTCTGGAACTGCTTCCGCAGCCTCGCCATGATCTCCTGCGTCATCGGCAGCTGCGGGCGATTGTACTTCCGCTCGTCCTCCAGGAACCACTCCGGCAGTCCCGCGGGGTCGTTGAACATGTACCGGTTGTACGAGGAGTCGATGAGGTCGTTGGCCGTGCTGTGCTTGGAGAGAAGGAACCCCAGCGACAGCGCTTCCAGGTGTTCGTCCGAGCCGATTTTGGGCTCGTTGGCCTTCACCACTTCCAGGTCACCGTACGCCGAATCGTCCGTTTGCGAGCCCAGGCCCGCTTTGATCATCGCTTGCCGAGCCAACTGGTCCTCCGTTAGATGGCTCGTCGCCTGCGGGAACCCCGTTTCCACGATCTCCAGATCCGCCTTGGCCTCTTTCTCCTTCTTCTTTCGCTCCTTCTCGAGTCGCTTCACGCGCTTTTCATGTCGCTTTTCTTTATCCGATTTGGGCACATCGAGCAGAGGCGGCACGTATTCTCCGTCCGCGATTTGGCTCCCGTCGATCTTCGGGGCTTCCGCGAGCAGCTCCGCGTCCTCCTCGTCGTTGTACGCTCGCAGCCGATCCGCCAGCGGCAGCTCGCTCTGCGGCCGCTTCTGCGACTTGCGCGCCTCGCTTTTCATCGCGGCGATCGCGTCTTCGTCCGAGGAATCGGAGGCCTCGTCGTTCAGGGAGGCGAAGAGCGGGTCGCTGAACCAACGCTGACGACGCAGCGACGCCGAGGCTTCGTCCGAGGAATCGGAGGCCTCGTTCTCCTCGTTCTCCTCGTCGCTGCTGGCTGCAGACTCGGTCATGCGAGTGGATTTCTTTGATTTCGATTTCGATTTCTTGACAGTCTCATCGTCCGATTCGCCGGTTTCGCTCATACTTTCATCGTCGTTTTCATCCTCCGCTTGCTTCATCAAATCTTCCTTCTTGATCTCCACTTCCTTCTGATACAACTCGTCCAGTTTGTGCTACACGTCACATTCCCGCGGCTTTCCCACCAATTCCCGCAGTTTCTGCGCGGGCAATCCCTTCTTCTTCTCCAGCTCCTGCAGATATCGCTTCTCATTAGCGGCGTGTCGCATCTTATAGTTCTCGTACAAATTGTCGAGCTGCGCTTGCAGCACTTCCATTTCGTCCACGTCGCTGTCCTCTTCCTTCTCTCCATCCTCTTCTGCCTCCTCTTTCTCCCCATCGATCCAATCCAGCGGGTTCTCTGCCTTGTTCAGATCCACATCGCCCAACTCGTCTCGCTATCGTTTACCCTCTCTCCTCTTTCTCTCCTACCTCCACGCGACTCAAATCCGTTACGCTGAACACTTGATCGCCCAAATCCATCACAGGCGTTTTGTCCATGCCCAGCAACCGACGCTTTCGCTCCTTCGCTAGACGCTTTCGCTCCTTCCGCTCCTCACGGCGTTTCTCCAACTATCCATTACTCCGTTTCCACGTTTCTACCGCTATACGCTCGCGTACTTCCTGCAACTCGCTCTCCACGCTCTTCTTCTCCTCTTTCTCTTCCGTTTCCCCGGTTTCTCCTGTTTCTCCAGCTTCCCCGGTTTCCCCTGTTTCCCCGATTTGCTGGGCAGGATGCTGCATGGACTGGATCAACTCCTTCTTCTCTTTGAGCATCTGCAATCGCCATTTGAGCAGCATTTTGAAATCGTTCTTGTTCAGCACGCGCAGATCGCTGCAGCAGGCGCGCACTTCCTCCGTCGTGAGCGGACTCTCCAGGAACGCCGCGCTGTCCTCGTCGAATCGCAACTACCATCGACCGGTTTCTCCGTTTCTACCTCGTGAGCCTCGCTGAGAACGCGAATCGGGTCCGAACGCGTCATAAAATCCTTCACCGAAATCACACGCTTCAGTCCCAGGCCCAAATCCTCGTCGTAGCCCTACACACTCACCGATCGGGGTTGATCGTACCTCGCGGAATCGCTTTCGCGGGTTCTTCGAGGCAAACAGATTCACTTCTTGCTTGGGGGCTCCCACCTGCTTGAAGGCGTAGTCCGGGTTGAGGAATTTGGGGTCGATGTAGGATGGCGCTTTGTAGTTCTGGGCGTTACTCACGCGGGGATTTCACCTACCTGGCACACCACGAAAATTTCTGCTGATTCGGTACGCGAAGCAGCGGGCTTGGTGGCCTGCACCTTCTCGAAGAGCTGGTTGAAGATATAGATGAGAGCGTGGTAATCCGCAGAACGGAACACCTTCGTGACGAATGTCGCGCCCTTCGTCATGAACTCCACAGCCAAACGGAGCGAGTGAAGGACCAGCGAGTTCTACTCTGTGAGGCAGGCACATCGCACAAACCTGGTCAAACGCATCCTTGCTCCAACCTCCTCCTACATTCGGAGCACCATCGTGCAGCACTACGTCAGCCTATTCCATAATATCGCCATAGTCAGAAGTACATGTTTTCCGTGCAATTCTCTCTTTATCACGTCCCTACAGCTCAACGTCGTAATGTCCTCTTGAAATGTCTTGACATTGTGTATCGGCTTAATAGGAAGCAAATCCACGCCAATAATCGTGCTTTCGATGGGCATCTGCTTTGCTGCCACTTGACACCTACCAAATTACAATCCAACCGTGCCATTCTACCATCCTCCTGGAGCTGCACAGAGATCAATCAACACGTGAGCTTTTGATAAGAAGTTGAACTGACGATTCAACTGGATAAGCTTAAAAGCAGAACGAGCTCGGTAGCCCTGCTGCTTAGCAAGGGCGTACCACTTATCTCCTGTTCTCTGTGCCTTTTTGGTCATCGATAAGGAAATATGGGTTTGAAACAAGTGTGGCTGAAATAGGGTAGGAACCGCGGTATTGCGAATTCAAATTGCATGGAAGTGGATGATGCATTCCACGGATTGCAGTACCTTCTTCACGCCATCCCTATCCAAAAAATTCAAAATTACCCATTTTTCGGTGAATTAGAAAAACAAAAACTGTACAGTGATTCACTATAATAATAATAAGGAACAAACCTCCGATTTGTTTCCCCATGTTCTCATTCATTATTTGATCAATCAAACAACATTATGCTTGCTACCGTAGCTAAGACCTTTACGAGACCTGTAGGCAATTTGGGAGCTGTTTGGGAGAACTTTTGGACTTACCGCTCTCTAGGCAATTCGCGCTTTCTCTGTTTCCGCAAATATCGCTCACACTCCCCTGTTCGATCTCCATAACGAGCTCAAGGGCAAGATTGTGGAGTTCGCTGGATATGCTCTGCCTGTGCAGTATTCCGGAGTGCTTCCCGTTGTTCTTCGGTTTCCTCTTCATTCTAGGAGCATATGGCCGTGAGAGGAAAGAACACCTGCGGTCTGTTCGATGTTTCCCACATGGGTCAGATCAAGTGAGTTTCGACGATGGGGATGAGTGGCAGGTGGACTGGAAAGGACCGTGTTGAGTTCCTGGAGCGCGTTCTTGTGAGCGACATCCACTCTCTGCAGCCCACCCAGGGCCGTTTGACTCTGCTGTGCCAGGAGGACGGTGGTATCATCGATGACACTGTGATCACCAACGCCGGCGACTACCAGTACTCCTTGTGTGTTGTGTCGATTGCAGCTACGAGGTGGTGAACGGCGCCTGCAAATACGGCGACATGGAGCACTTCAAGAAGGAGATGGCCAAGTTCCAGGCCGAGGGCAAGGAGGTGCAGATGGAGTACCTCGGCGACATCGGTCTGATCGCTCTGCAGGGCGCCATGGCTCCCGCGGTTCTGCGCCGCTTCACGGAATTCGACGTGACGAAGATGCCGTTCATGACGGGTCAGGACATCAAGGTGGGCGGCGTGAACTGCCGCGTGACGCGCTGCGGCTACACGGGCGAAGACGGCTACGAAGTGCAGATCCCCGCGGCAGACTCGATCCCGCTGGTGAAGGAAATCCTGAAGGAGAAGGAAGTGCTGCCGTGCGGTCTGGGAGCGCGCGATTCGCTGCGTCTGGAGGCGGGTCTGTGTCTGTACGGCACGGATCTGAGCACGGCGGTGTCGCCGGTGGAGGGCACGCTGATGTGGACGATCAGCAAGCAGCGCCGCGCGGATGGCGGGTTCATCGGACACAAGGCGATTATGGAGAGAGTGGGGCGAGGGAAGCGGCGGTGATGATTGTAGATGAAGACGTGCGAGAAGAAGCGAGTGGGATTCATGGTGCAGGGCGCGCCCGCGAGACACGGAGCCAAGATCTACTCGAACGGCGAGCTGGTGGGAGAGATCACGTCGGGCACGCTGTCGCCGTCGCTGAAGAAGCCGGTGGCGATGGGATACATTAAGAAGGGACTGCACACGGCCGGAACCCAGGTGGAGGTGGAGGTGCGCAACAAGAAGTACCCCGCTGTGGTCACCAAGATGCCGTTCG